CCCTATGAATGTCAACAATGTGGTGAAGCCTCTTCTTCTCTCCCAGGTGTTCAAAGACACATGATAACACACAGTGGAGGTAAAACTTTTCAATGTGAGGTATGTGGGAAAGCCTTTCATTTCTCCTCTTTATTTAGAAGACATGAAAGAACTCATTTTGGGGAGAAACTCTCTGAATGTAAACAAGATGGTCGAACCTTTATTTCACAGACAAGTCTTCCAAAGCACAGGATCACACACACGGGGAATGCACATTTCAAATGTAAGGTATGTGGGAAAGACTTTGCTTATCCCAGATTACTTAGAATGCATCAGAAAACACATACTGGAGAGAAGCCCTATGAATGTAAGCAGTGTGGCAAAACCTTTGCTAGATCTGGTGACCTTCACATACATGAAAGAACTCACACTGGAGAGAAGCCCTATGAATGTAAGCAGTGTGGGAAAGCCTTTGCTAGATCCCGTCAGCTTCATAAACATGGAAGAATACATACTGGAGAGAAGCCTTATGAATGCAAACAATGTGGAAAAGCCTTTGCTACATCCTATCAGCTTAAGGGACATGGAAGAACACACACTGGAGAGAAGCCCTATGAATGTAAGCAGTGTGGCAAAGCCTTTGCTAGATCTTGTGACCTTCACACACATGGAAGAACTCATACTAGAGAGAAGCCCTATGTATGTAAGCAGTGTGGAAAAGCCTTTCCTACATCCCGTCAGCTTCATGCACATGGAAGAACACATACTGGAGAGAAGCCTTATGAATGCAAACAATGTGGAAAAGCCTTTGCTTTTTCCCATCAGCTTCATGTACATGGAAGAACACATACTAGAAAGAAACCCTTTGGATGTCAACAATGTGGGAAAACATTTGCTTCCTCCCGTCATCTTCACATACATGGAAGAATGCATAATGGAGAAAAGCCCTATGAATGTGAACAATGTGGAAAAGCCTTTAGTTTTGCCTCTTCCCTTCGGGTACATAAACGAACTCATACCGGAGAGAAGCCCTATAAATGTAAGTGGTGTGGGAGAGCCTTCACTCAGTCCTCTAACCTTCACTCACATGAACAAACTCATACTGGAGAGAAGCCCTATGTATGTAAGCAGTGTGGCAAAGCCTTTGCTACACTCTATAAGTTGAAGAGCCATGAAAGAACACACACTGGAGAGAAGCCCTATGAATGTCAAGAATGTGGAAAAGCCTACAGTACTGCCTCTTACCTTCGGATGCATAAACACACTCATACTGGAGAGAAGCCCTATGAATGTAAGCAGTGTGGCAAAGCCTTTGCTAGATCCAGTGACCTTCACAGACATGGAAGAATGTATACTGGAGAGAAGCCCAATGAATGTCAACAACGTGGAGAAGCCTTTGCCACATCTTGTC